AACAGTTGGTTCACCAGCTTCATTTTGATGTAGGATTTTTGTGAATATGGTGGTACGTCTCAGTACGCGGAAAATGATTAAGAATGTGACAAATCCAAGGAGATTATTAGCATAGAAAGTAATGACGATGACGAGATCACCGTTTAAAGTCCGTAGACGTATATTTGTTTCTTTCTCTTTATCTATGGAATTTTAAACCATCTGATTTTGTAAAAAACGAGCTTGTAAAGAATATGTTACTTTTGATATTTGTGGAATGAGAAGTTACATACACACACGATACTCGGTTTCTGTTTTCACGAATGATTAAACCTGAGCGTTCAAAATCATTGTTGGGGTATAGTAAATTTCTATTCATACCAAAAAAACAAAAAAGTTTTGTAATAAATTTCATAATGCAGTATTGGTCGTTTTTGTTTTAGCGCCAATATATGCAAGCCCTGTCCACCGCGAGGAATCAAACTCCGGATTTTAACATTCGTTTTAAGTTCGTAAACTTACCGCTGATCCACCGGTAGACTAGAGTATTGGTAAACTACACATCAGTTTTTTTTTTTTACAAAGATTATGTTTGACGTACAATGTACAGAAAATACAGAATTCATTTAAAAAAATAGGTTTTGTACAACTTTCACAAACAAGTTTACAAAATCCACTGGAAAAAAAATGTAAAAAAAATAATAATTTCCTAGTAGCGGTGGTCTTTAGTGAAACTACACTGTGACCTACAAGGACCACCGCCGAGATTGGCTCATACAATTTGTACAAATACGGGGAGAGAGGGGGGGGGGATAAGCATATTAGCGTTATAATCCGACCCCAAGAAACGGCACCTTTTCTTTTAAAAAATTAGGTACGTTCAGAGATTTTTTTTTTTACATTTCTATACGATTTATAGAGTAAACAGGAAATTGCACTGTCAGAAAATAGAAGGTTTCTAACTAAAAGGCATTTCTATTTTTAAAGCCCATGTCTATCAAGCCCTACTCATAATGTTAAAACTGGTACATATAAACCATCAAACAACAACAAAATCTCTGAGCTAGTATAAGTTGGGATTACGTGTCACCGAACTTTAAAAAAAAGTAGGTTAGACAAATATTTTACTTTAATTTATTCACCTAAAATATCACATCTATATATATATATTTTACATTTACCGAAGGCGTATAAATGTTCCTTAAACTCATTTTAATAATAGCACATGAAAGATTAAGTCATAAAAAAAGAAAATGAAGTGCTAAAGGGGAGACGTTTTTCCAATTCGACATTGTTACGTCATAAGCACGTTTCTTATATGCATAATGATTGTTT